CATGACAAACTATATATCGTTGGAAAGGTCTAAGACTCCTAAATCATATTTTATAAAAACATTGGTAAAATATCTATGTAGGAAAAATAATAGATTAATTTATGACAAGAGTGCACCTCAAAAAAATAACATCATAACATGAGTTCTGACCTTTGTCAAAAAAAGTCTTTGTTGCCTTTTTCTCTAGCACACATTAGAAATCATCAGAGATTATATATCAATTGAAAACTTGAAACTTGAAACCCATTTTAAAATCAAACATTGCATTACCATGAAAATGGTACCTCAATATCATGTTACAAAATGTTTTCGTTCATGAATTATAAAAATGTAAGTTTGGATCGTGCACTTTCACGTCTATGTTCAAAAATGTGAGTGACAGTTAAAGGGTTATTTACGTCTTTAATTGATTTTTCCGTACATTTCTGCCATATGTACATTAACTGACAGTCACCACTGATAAGCTACCACTAAATATTGTAGAAACTTCATTTGCTGTAAAGTTGCTTTGCAACGATTTGTATCGTGAAAAGCACTATACAAATAAACTTGAATTGAATTGAATAACTTGATACATAAATGGTTAGATTCACATTGATTAAACTTGATTAATTCACATCTTGACCAATAAAAAATCTTCCACAATTCTAGATTAACGGCTGAAATGTTTGTAGAGATGCTGCATGAGGAAGATCAGGCAATTCTTAGTCCTGATTCAGAGTCTGAAATATCTGATGTTGATGACCTAGAGACTATGTGCCACAGGGTCAGCCTGGAGTTGTGGGTGTGAATCCAGCTCTCCTAGATAAAGAAGACTCATTTGATGACATTGAAGACTTGTCTGATGAGTCCTCTAAGAGCAAACTCAAACCCCGGCCAATAGATTGAGTAAAAATGGTTTGCACATACTCATGTAAGCAGAGAACATGGAGGTGGCCCGTGGTGCTGTGCTACAATGTGCTGGATGTTGCCACCCTCATTGCCTAAGCCAGGGGCGGCCTGTTTGCAAGGAGCACAAACCTGTAGTTGTCATTTGTGAGGCATGTAAGAACTGAGATGGCAGTTTGAGATAGCGCTGTACCTGTGTGATTTCATTTTGTTAGTTTTATTTTCATCTATTTGGTCACATTCATTACAATTCACTACAGTTGCTCTACAGACAGTTCAATTTCAGTGTTATCGGTTATCAGTGATGTGTATGTTATGTGTGACAAAGGGGCAAATAAACATATTTCAAGTGTTAAATGTGTTGGTCTAAATAGCTGCTAAAATAAATATTTTAACAAAATGTCTTTATTCTTTTGTTTTATCATGCTTGCATAGATGGGTCATTGTTGACCAATGTGTGTAAACTTGATGTAGTAACAAAAAACCTAGGTAAATATAAAATATAAATTTGTGGTCATTGTAAAAAGATATTTTGAATATTCATGGATCATGGCATTTATAGATCAAGGAATATAAAATGTTAAAATAAACTGATTTCAAAAGATTAAAAAAAATTAAAAAAATGCCCAGCGAAGTATGAAATAACATAGGGAATGAATGTGGGTCATTTTACATTCACATTTACATTTAGCAAATGCTTTTATCCAAAGCAAACAAATGAGGACAATGGAAGCAATCAAAATCAACAAAAGAGCAACGATATGCATGTGCTATAACACGTCTCAGTTAACTAAATGCAGTACATGTACCAAGGTTGTTGTTTTTTTAAATCATATAATAAATAAAAAGAAAACAGATAGAATAGAAAAAGATTAGAGCAAGCTAGTGTTAGAGGCCTTTTTTGCTTTTGTTAATTGTATAATAAATAAAAGGAAAATAAAGACTTTTTTTTAAAGAAAACAAGCAGTAAATAAATAGATTGCAAGTCTAAAAGGGGCAAGTTTATTATATATACTGTATATTAAAAATAGAATTAGAATAGAGTGTGCTAGAGTTAGAGGGTCAAATAAAGATGGAAGAGATGTGTTTTTAGCGGTTCTTGAAGATGGCTAAGGAAAAAAAATGCCCAGCGAAGTATGAAATAACATAGGGAATGAATGTGGGTCATTTTACATTTACATTTACATTTAGCAGATGCTTTTATCCAAAGCAAACAAATGAGGACAATGGAATCAATCAAAATCAACAAAAGAGCAATGATATGCATGTGCTATAACACGTCTCAGTTAACTAAATGCAGTACATGTACCAAGGTTGTTGTTTTTTTAAATCATATAATAAATAAAAAGAAAACAGATAGAATAGAAAAAGATTAGAGCAAGCTAGTGTTAGAGGCCTTTTTTGCTTTTGTTAATTGTATAATAAATAAAAGGAAAATAAAGACTTTTTTTTAAAGAAAACAAGCAGTAAATAAATAGATTGCAAGTCTAAAAGGGGCAAGTTTATTATATATACTGTATATTAAAAATAGAATTAGAATAGAGTGTGCTAGAGTTAGAGGGTCAAATAAAGATGGAAGAGATGTGTTTTTAGCGGTTCTTGAAGATGGCTAAGGACTCAGCTTCTCGGACTGAGTTGGGCAGGTCATTCCATCAGGAGGGAACATTAATTTAAAAGTCTGTGAAAGTCCGTGGTGGTTTTGTTGGCAAACATTAATACCTTGAATTGTATGCGAGCAGCTATTGGTAGCCAGTGCAAATTGATAAACAGAGGTGTGACATGCGTTCTTTTTGGCTCGTTAAAAATTTATCTTGCTGCCGCGTTCTGGATTAATTGTAAAAGTTTGATAGAACTGGCTGGAAGACCTGCCAAGAGAGCATTGCAATAGTCCAGCCTGGACAGAACAAAAGCATTATCAAGGAGTTGAAAGGGCCTGATCTTCTTGATGTTGAATAAAGCAAATCTGCAGGACCAGGCAGTTTTAGCAATGGGGTCTGAGAAAGTCAGCTGATCATCAATCATAATTCCAAGGTTTCTAGCTGTTTTTGAAGGAGTTATGGTTGATGTGCCTAACTGGATGGTGAAATTGTGATGAAACGATGGGTTTGATGGAACCACAAGCAGTTCTGTCTTGGCAAGGTTGAGTTGAGGGTGATGTTCCTTCATCCAGCAAGAAATGTCTGTTAGACATGCTGAGATGCGAGCAGCTATCATCGGATCATCAGGATGGAATGAGAGGTAGAGTTGAGTGTCATCAGCATAGCAGTGATATGAAAAGCAATGTTTCTGAATGACAGAACCTAGT